GGAAGGAAGGTACAAAGAAAGGGAAGAAGGTATAGAGGTAGGAAGGGAGGTGAGTAGAGAGGGAGGAAGGTATAGACGAAGGGAAGAAGGTATAGATGGAGTAAGGGAGGTGAGTAGAGAGGGAGGGAGGTATAGAGGGAGGAAGGGAGGCGAGTAGAGAGGGAGGGAGGTATAGAGGAAGGGAAGAAGGTGAGTAGAGAGGGAGGGAGGTATAGAGGGTGGATGGGAGGAAGGGAGGAAGGTATAAGGGGAAGAAGGGAAGTGAGTAGAGAGGGAGGGAGGTATAGACGGAGGAAGGGAGGTGAGTAGAGAGGGAGGAAGGTATAGAGGGAGGAAGGGAGGTGAGTAAAAAGGGAGGAAGGTATAGAGGGAGGAAGGGAGGTGAGTAGAGAGGGAGGGAGGTATAGAGGGAGGACGGGAGGAAGGGAGGAAGGTATAGGGGGAAGAAGGGAGGTGAGTAGAGAGGGAGGGAGGTATAGAGGGAGGAAGGGAGGTGAGTAGAGAGGGAGGGAGGTATAGAGGGAGGACGGGAGGAAGGGAGGAAGGTATAGGGGGAAGAAGGGAGGTGAGTAGAGAGGGAGGAAGGTATAGAGGGGAGAAGGAAGACAAAGAGGGAGGGAGGGAGGAAAAAAGAGAGGGGGGTGGAAAGTAAGTAGGGAGGCAGGAAGGGAAGAAGGAAGGTAAAGAGGGAGAGAGGGAAGTTGATGGAGAGGGAGGAGGGTAGAGAGGAAGGAAGGAAGGAAGGTGAAATAGTGGGAGGAATGATGAATAGGGCTAGTAAATGGGGTTGGTCAGAGGGACAAAGGAACAGAGCAATGAAATTTTTTTTTTTTAAAAACTGCCTTTTATCCTGTAAAAGTTTTCATTAAATTTAGCCCTCGATTTACTTCGTTTCATTAGCATCACATTTGATAAAAATCCTTATTATGGTAACTCAAGGACAAATTAAAAGAAAGGCTTGGAGCTAGGAAACGTAGTTCATGACCTCGTCGTCCAAGATAGTTGTCGGCCATGAGCGAATGAGTAGGTTAGAGTTAAACAATGAACCTGGATAGCTTTCAAAGTGGTTTGTTTTGAAGAAGGTCGTTTTCCTTATCTTATCATATGTACAAACCAATTCTGATAAAATAAAAATTTCAAAAAACTTAAAATTCGGTTTTTTCGGGCCCCAAAGAGCTCTCATGTTGTCTTCTGAGGTGTCCCGTAGACTGGTAACGAATAAGCGGGCGATGACGTACAAAACTGTAAAAACTCTCAGTTGACACTGACAAATCTTTCACATCTCTTGTAATTTTGTTTAAGTCAGCGTTGAAATACGCTTGAATAATGTCCGGTAGCGATGTCTACCTGCCTTCAGCAAGCTTTACCGAGAGTTGTGATACATCGTACGCAAGTAGTAAAGAAGAAATGGAAGTTGCGAGTGCGGTTCAGCCTTACGTAGGAGAACCGCGTGCATCAAACGAAGATTTCGACGAAGGCTGACAAAGACGGTTTCTCGCCTGCGGTGTTTAGGTCAAGATTAGGACAAAAAGATTCCCGTTACTGAATGTTTAGTTTGCTGCGTTTGTGTTTTGTTTTCTATGGCGAAATCTATGTTAAGAATAGGTAGCTGTGTTTTCGTAACATTTTATTCCTTTGCACTATGAGCAGCGAAGGTTGCCCTCAGTCAGTGCTCCAGAGTTTCGTAGCAGTAGACCAAAAGCTAACTTTTGACGAAAGAATCAGCTGTATCACGAGGCTATCGTCGCGCCGGTCAAACCGAACGGAAAACGAGTGAGTTTATAGTCATCTGATTCAAGTTAATCTCAAATAGGGATTTTAAGAGAGAAAAACTTCTTTAGTTTAGGCATTGCAGTATTGCAGTGGTGCATCACTAGTGACATCAGTATTATAAATGAATATTTCGTACGCGTCGACTTTCACACAGCACTTGGATTCGCTACCATCTAATTCAATAAAATTTGTGTTTCTTTATTTATCTCGTTGCAGTGCTGTTATTACAATAACATTGCTACTGTTGCTTCTTTTAGTTTCTTGAGGGCAGGGCGGAATTGATGGCTTGTGGGATGGATTTTCGGAAACCTAGGTTAGGAGAATACACGGCCGTTTCGAGCTTGTGTTTATGCCAGTATCCACCAGAGGTTTCGCACTGTTCACGCAACAGGATATAGATCAGCTCAGGAAAGGGCTTAAACTTCATTACAAATAATGTATTTCTGTTATTGAAATACGACGGAAACTACAATTGGTAGGATTTTCCTATGATGAGAAAAGCGAAAATGTAGTCATGTGGAAAGACAAGGAGTATGAGTACATCTCAAGCGCAAGAAATAAACAACAATAAGGATCGGAGCTCACCATTCTTCGCTTGCGAAATGTCATCCGAAAAGAATGTTGAACAATCCTGTACGGTGTGGGAACAGGCCCCTTAATCAGCATTCTTTTTTAGCTGAACTAAACTAAAGACTTATCTTCCCCTGATTTGACTAATGATATGTGTTCGTAACAGGGGTCTTTGAGGCCGGTTCGGAGCCTAAGGCAGACGACATTGAAGAGTAAAATCTCCTCGATGTCGACGATCGATCGTCGAACGCGTCCATTTTGGCCATACAGCTACATCCTTTGGAAAGTAATGTATAAAAATACCCGGTATATGTGTATTATTCTTGTAGCTAACATCATTTGGCGCTCTGGCCACGCAATACGTTCGTCCTTTCTTCTAGATTTCTCCTTTCTCCACCAAAGTTGCAGACGTGTCTTCACAGTTTTCTACGTCACAGCTGTGTAACATGATCGTTTTGGCAGCGTGCTTAACGACCGGGAGACACTTTTCGGCCAGCAAATCGTAATTTCAATGCACAAAAAATGGTCAAGGAGCATTCAATAGGCGCTAAGGTCGATTATTTCCAATTTTAAATACAGCTATTGCCCAGAAAATGCAAAAAAAAAAACTTTCGTGTCGTAGGCACTTTAATGAAGACAATAAAGGGTTGGCAAAAAAGGCTTTCAGTATGTTAAGGGCTTGGAAACAAAAGAAAAAAGAAGGCTCAATGCCATGTGTCATGATTTTGTGGGATGCAAACTTCTTGCAAAAGACTTTTCTTGCGATAAGAGTATAGGGAATGGCTCTCTTTATTCTTGAATTGGAAAAGTGAAGGCCTTTTAATATTAATTCATGTGCCGTACAACCCCCGCCTTCAGTCAATCTAGTACTCCATGTAGCATCTGTATCAACAAACATCCATGGCGGCATCCATTTGTAGCATCTAAAGGGAGTCATAATCGGTCAGTCACATTACATTGTCATAGAAGTGATTCCTGATTGTCTATAGATTACACCAGAAGCTTGAAAATTACTTTTACTTTTGCGTAGTGGTCTTCGTTCGGCATCCCTGCTGCTTTCCATGGATAAGAGCTCAAATAAGGTCACCAACGCATTTTATTGCTTTTTCTTTTTTCATTGTTTGTTTTCCTTGTGGGGCTAAAGCAACTGTGTCTTTTCGGGAGGCAACATTGTCTCCGACTCAATAATCTCCCTATATTTTAAAGGAAATTAAAACCATTGTATTTTTTTTCTCTGAGAAAATTCCTATGTTGATTCACATGTTGACTAAAAGTAAAAAATACAAGCGAAGGGAAAACAGAAATAAATTAAACTCAACGGGCTAGAATTCTCGTGAAAAAAATCAATGTTCTTTTTACTATAAGTGTCTTAAGGATAACGCTATTGTTATTGGCACAGCAAGGTTTTGCATCACAAGGTGTTTTTATGGAAAGACCCGCTGAGACTTAACAAAAACCATAGCAATAGTTATAATTAAGCTTAATCCTGAATCTGGAATCAAGACTGTCAAGTGTTTGGAAGTATTTCGATAGAATAAACCAGCTGAGACTTAACAAAACCATATACCGCAACATTGTCTCCGACTCCGTTACATTTTTTTTCCTCTGAGAAAATTCTTATGTTGATCCACATGTTGACCAAAAAAAAAAATACAAACGAAAGGAAAACAGAAACAAATCGAGACCCAAAGGGCTAGAATTCTCGTGAAAAAATCAATTTTCTTTTTACTCTAAGTGTTTAGCTGTTTAAGTGTAGAAAACTCGGTCTCGTCGCCATTGCCTTTCCATAAAAGCATAAGATACATGCTTTTGGAAACCATCTTTTCTTGAACAAATTTTCCTTCAAATGCGAATTACTAAGTCAGAGCAAGCGTAATATCTCACACATAAAAACTATTTATAAATCCATGTTGAGATATATGATTTTAGAAAATATCTTTGCTAAAAGGAATTTTCCTTACAATGCACATTACTCAGTCACAGCCAGTGTTTCATTGACACATGAAAATTATGTTTCAGTAATTAAACACCCATCTGAATTAGTTAGGTTGCTGGAAGGATCTTTCATCAGCTAATTAAATTTTGTTTAAAAAAAAATTGACCTTAATAAAGTAGCTCTCTCTGAGGCTATCCCTACCAAACGTTAAACAGTATTTTAGGAAAAGGACCTTTCTCTTTACTGGCGCAAAAATTTTTAGCAAACTCCCAATAAACATTGTGAAGAGTGAAAAACATTCAGACGTGTTGCAGCCGAGCAAGACATTTCTTCTCTTCTTTTTTAGGCTCTTAATGTAGTTCTTAAATTCTATTGTTGTATGTTTATTAGTCTCTTTGAATATGATAGTTTATGAAAATTCTTCATACAAATTAATTTTTTAAGATACAGGGCTCCTATGGAGACCAGCCTTGGAGCTGAATGGGCTACTTACCCTGTAAATTAAGTTTAACTTTACTTTACCTTACTCTCTAAATTTTTCCATAACTTAATTGTGAAAAGGAAATAGACAAAGAAGAGCAAATTAATATTTTATTACTTTTACATTTTTAATCCATGGCCTTGTTGATAAATGTATTAATTGTACGCTAACATTTGTACAAGTCACAGAAGTAGCCCAACCCTTGTCTAACCGTTGAGTTGTTTCGAGATTTTAACTAAAATGTTCTCCAAAAACTTCGTTCTCCTTTACATATTCTTTTCATACTGTTACTATTGTAACGGAAATTACTGTGAGCGTTTCAGGGAGTCCTTTGATTCCCTCTTATACAACCGTGTTCTGATCGGCCAGGTGATCAAGTCGTCGTTCACTCGCGGTGGAATTCTCTCCTGTGCTCACAGATGCTTGTCTCTTCCGTCATGTTCATCATACAACTACCAAATGTCAGAGTCCGACCATGGCGTTTGTGAGTTAAACGGCGGAAAAGAGGGCGATCAGGAAAACTTGGTGGAAAAAGCTGGTTATGTTTTCGCACGGCGGAGAAAGGTAACTTAGCTGTGTTTGCCACCTTGGTTCATCCTTCTTAAAATCACTTCAGAATCGTTGCATTTTTATAAATAAAGTACCTAAACGAAAGCAGAGAAGAGTGAAGTGAACGGGAGGGAGGGAGAGAGAAAGAATCCAAAGAGGTCTTTGACAAGCTCGAGATAGGACTTGTTAGACCTCGTAGGAGTTTAACCCTTCTGCGTTCTTTTTCATTTTCGCAGCCGCCACGCAGCTGCAAAGAGGCAAGACAGCTGATCAGTAAGCCTGCACCAGGCTATTTCTATATCCAAGACAACAACTGTCATGAGTTTAAAGTCTACTGCGACTTCACCTCAGAGCCCGGCTGGGCCTGGACTCTAGTTATGTCAGAAACCTTACAGAACGTTGGCAAACCTTTTACCCAACGGGGTTTGTTCACAAATGAGCCGATGAGCCCAGAGGTTCCCAACTGGGAGGCGTACAGGCTTCAATTAGACCGCATGAAAGGGTTGAGATCTGAGTCAACACACTGGCGAATAACTTGCAGTCTCAATCTTGCGAGCGTTGTCGACTATAGAGATTACGTTCGAGCAAAGTTTAAAGACTTCGACTTATTGACTCATAAGAATGGGGGTGAAAAACCTTGTGAACTCGTCGATTACATCAATGTCCATGGACACAACTGTACAAACTGCACCGCAGTTTGGTATCAGTCCACTGACTTTATTTTAACCCACAGAAGCTACGAAAACGTCTGCGACTTTGCTAGAGCACCAGGGTCCATTCAAGTTAAGGGTACTCATAGCGAGCAAAATTTTGGTCGCTATGTATTTTACAATCCTAACTTCCGGTGCACATCAAATAACTCTGCCACAACCAACTACTGGTTTGGTTCACGAGTTTGAACTTTTTCTCATTGCTCTGACGAGAAAAAAAAACATGTAAATAAACTAGCTTGCTGATTATTTCATTTGAAAAAAAGTACTGTGACATCAGTGATGTAGAAGTTTTTTGTTTTTATGTCTGGTTGTTGTTGTTGTTTTTCTATGCTGGTTGATATGATGATTAAAAATCAGAGTAAGTAGATTTCATAAGTTACGCAAAGTACTGCCAAAAATGTAATTATTTAATAAGGTTACGAAATTCATATTACCAGAAGTAACGCTATTCGAAGTCTAATATAACTAGTTGTTTTGATAATAACGGAAAGTAATCCGTATAGCATTGTATAACTAACGTGGAGTAATGATTAGTATTGTAAGTAAGGTAACGAACTCAGTAGCATTGCCTTGTATTGTAGATAGCATTAGTTTTGTATTATTAGCTTCAAAAATATTGTTTCTTTCATTGGAGTATTAATAAACAATAAAAATTTAAAAGTTTGAAAAACTTAATATTTTATTAGGCCCAAGATAAGCCACAAAGCTTTGCATATCTGTTCTACTTGTTTGTTGAACATTGTGGTTTGATCGGCTATCATTTCCGACGTGACCATTTTTGAGAAAAATGAATTTCATGAGAATTATCAGAAATAAATAAACAAAGAGATGAAAAAAAACAGTTACTAACATACAATATGCATTAAGTTGCAGTATAGGGGACTTGAGCATAAAAACATGGCAAAAATAATGTCACTAATTCCCTATCAAGCTTTTAAAGTATCATACACAAATGATAGCATTCAAATTTACCTTGTTGATGTACTCTTAGCTTCCAACTGTTTTTATTTCCCCTAGCAAAGCGGAAAAGAAGAACCCAGGCTTATAAGACATAATAATCAACAGACATGCTACCCATGCAAGAGCTATTTTGTGAAACAGTCGGCAGCACCTAATATGGTAATTTTTTGTCTTTACCGCACCTTGAAGTCATCTGTGATCAGTTGAACAGAAGCACTGCAACATGGAATCTTAGACTATAGCTTGAGCTGAAAACAGCTTTGCTTTGAATAAAAATTAACGATGTCTCAAATGATTTTGAATAGTTTGTGTTGGTGTTTTTTTTTTTTAAGTGTGGGCAAGGATGAGGTTTGAAATGAAAAAAAAAATCAGTTGTTTCACTTGAAAGTTTCTGAAAGATAACGCTATTTTAATTGGCACAGCACGGTTTTGCACTCAATAGCGAATATTTCTGGAAGACCTGCTGAGACTTTACATAAGCCTTAGTAATAGTAATAATTGAGCTTAATTCCGAACTTGAAATCAAAGTGCCCACTGTTTAAAAGTCTTTTGATAGAAGAACCCGCTGAGACTTTAGAACATTCTATGCAGTTATTAATTAACTGTAAAGATGGAATTATGACTGAACTGTGCTCGGAGGTGGACTTCGGTGAACCGATCCTCGATCATGTCTTTGCGCGTACACAACCTCATCAACGTGGGTAGAAAACTGGGTCTCTTCGCTATTGCTTTTCCAAAAAGGCGTAAGATATATACTTCTAGAAAGTCTCTTCAGCTGAAGAAATTTCCCTTCAAATGTTAATTTCTAAGTCACAGCGAGCGTACTACCTCACACATAAAACTTACGTATAAGTCATGAAACTTTGTTGATGAAATACCCGTCTGTGATAATGATGTTGCGATGAACATTTTTCAAAGTTTTTGTAAAAACCAACTCACTGTAATGAAGTAACTCTCTCTTAATTTCTCTTTAACTTAATTGAAAAAAGTAAATAGACAAAGAGAAGCAAATTAATATTTTATTGCTTTAACATTTTTAACTCATGGCCTTGGTGATAAATGCATTGTACGCTAACATTTATACAAGTCAAACAAGTAGCCCAACTCTTATCTAGCCGTTGAGTTTCTTCGAGATTTTAACAAAGATGTTGTCAAAAAGCACTGTTCTTCTTTACTTTCTCTTTTCTTACTATGGCTATGGTGACGAGTTTTACTGTGGGCGTTTCAGGGAGTCCTTTGACTCTCTCTTATACAACCGCGTTCTGATCGGCCAGGTGATCAAGTCGTTGTTCACTCGTGGTGGAATTCTCTCTTGTGCTCACAGATGCTTGTCTCTTCCGTCATGTTCATCATACAACTACCAAATGTCAGAGTCCGACTATGGCATTTGTGAGTTAAACGGCGGAAAAGAGGGCGATCAGGAAAACTTGGTGGAAAAAGCTGGTTATGTTTTCGCACGGCAGAGGAAGGTAACGTAGCTGTGTTTTCCATCTCTGTTTATCCTTCTTTAAATAACTTCAGAATCTCAGCATTTTCAAAAGTTAGGTACCTAAACGAAAGTAGAATGAATGGGAGAGAGAAAGAGTGGAGCACTCCTAAAACAACCTTTCAATGTTTGAAAGGCTCGATGGAGCTTGGACTTGTTAGAGCTCGTAGAAGTTTAGCCCTTCTGCATTCTGAGTTTTCTTTTTATTTTGGTAGGCACCACGCAGCTGCAGAGAGGCAAGACAACTGACCATTAACCCTGCATCAGGCTTTTTCTGTATCCAAGACAACAACGGTGATATGTTTAAAGTCTACTGCGACTTCACCTGACAACCCGGTTGGGCCTGGACACTAGTTATGTCAGAAAGCTTACAGAACGTTGGGAAACCTTTTACCCGACAGGCTTTGTTCGCAAATGAGCCAATGAGCCCAGAGGTTCCCAACTGGGAGGCGTACAGGCTTCAATTAGATCGCATGAAAGGATTGAGATCTGAGTCAACACACTGGCGAATGACTTGCAGCTTCGATCCTGCGAGCGTTGTCGACTATAGATTACGTTCGAGCAAAGTTTAAAAACTTCGACTTGTTGACATATAAGGGTGCTAAAACTTTTGAACTCGTCGATGACATCAATGTCCATGGACACAGCTCTGAAAAGTGCACCGCGGTTTAGTATCAATCCGCTGGATACATTTTAGTCCACCGAAGCTATAAAAAGCATTGCGCATTTGGTAGAGCACCAGGGTCCATTCAAGATAATGACAGGTATAGCGAGCAAAATTTTGGTCGGTATGAAGTGTACAATCCTAACTTCTGCTGCACATCAAGTAGCTCTGCCACAAACAGCTATTGGTTTGGTTTAAGAGTTTGACCACTTTCTCACTGACTGACTGTATTTTCCAGTCTTCATATTTCTTTCTTACTTTTCTGATGAGACCTGTCACACCCAAAAAAACCCCTTTAATTTGAAACACAGCAAAGAAGAACGATAACCTGCTCTTACAAGAAAAAAAATGTAAATAAACTAGCTTGCTAATTATTGTATTTGAAAAAAAAGAGCGCTGTCATGTAAATGATGTAAATATCTTCTGTTTTGTTGTTGTTGTTGTTGTTTTTTCTTACGCTGCCTAATGTAATAATTGAAATCTAGAGTAAGTAGCCTCCATAAATAATGCAAAGTAGTGCAAAGAGGGTAACTATTTAAGTAGCGTAACCTATCAGAAGTAACGTAATTTGAGGCATAATGTAATTGTAGTTGTTTTGTTGGTAACGCAACGTAATCAGTGGTATCGTATAACTAACGTAGAGTAATAAGTAGTATAACAAATATGCTTCAGTTTGTATTCTCTTTTGATAAATACGGGCAGGCATACCAGCTGGCTGACCTTGGGGGATAAAAATTTGTCGTTGGAACACTAAATCAAACGTGAATTTCGAAATGAACAACAAAGTACTTAATCATAATTCTTCTGATCAAGTGATTCTATCAATGACTGCGTTTGCAAAAACAAGAACTTTCGTGTGGGTCCAAATCCAGGTCATTAGACAAACTAAGCGCGCCCACCCATGGAAGTTAGACGAGGCTTCTACAATCTAAAAACTTATCGCTATAGCTAGCGCTTAAACCAAGATCACTTCGGAATTCGAATCCATTGAGTAAATTTATTCTAAATAAAAACTAATGACTAAATCAAACTGAGCTGATCAACTTACTGACTAACTAAACTAACTAAATACTTCATAACAATTGTATCGTAGATTGTATTAGTTTAGTATTGTCCGCTTTGTAAATATTGTATGTTGCTGTTATTGGAAGTATGGTGATATCAATAAATTAATGTAAAAAAAAAAATTTTTTTTAGCCCAAAGTTAAACAACCCAACTTTGTATATTTCCTCTTTCCTTTTATTAAAAACAGTCGAATCCCGATGACTCGAACCAAGGCTAACTCGAACCACGCGCTAACTCGAGCCAAATCGATTTTCCCTGGATTTTGGTCATGCATCTACGGCAATTTGATCCACGGTAACTTGAACCCGCGATAACTTGAACCTCCAACTAACTCGGGGCAATTTTCGTTTCCATTAAGGTCATTCTTCATATATTTTACTCTTGATAACTCGAACCACGTCGAACCACGTCTGTCAATACGTGGCAAATCGAAACAATACACGGCAGTCCAAAACATTTACGTCACGTTGTGATTTTCTGCAGAAATTTAGTGTTCCATTTCCTCTTGACTCCACTCTCTTATTAAATTTGATTCAAATTTATATTGTATGAATAGAAAAAACAACAAATACCCTTTTCCCCTTACTTCTGGTTCGCGGTAACTCGAACTCCCGATAACTCAGACCTAATCTCGTACCCAGATCCTACCGTGTAACTGAATAACCGCCTGTCCCTGGATGGTTTGGATACGAGACTAACTTGAACCTTTTTTAGTTTTCCTTGAAGCTTCGGGTTCATGTGATTTCACTGTACTTTGTTTTGATTGGAGATTTTTTTCCCAAATGACAAATTTCCAAAACATAATCTCCAGCAAAAATAACAGTCAGGATGACAATGGGCTTTCGATGGCAAAATGAAAATTCATGTTGGTTGCTAAAAATCATATCATCAGAAATAAATATATTCATAGTAAGAGTTACTGAAAGAAAATATGCCTTTAAGTTGCAGTACCAGGGACTTGAGCATAAAAACATGGCAAAAATATTTACAATTTAAATTCAAACTCGTCTAGACCTTTTCAAGATTTGAAAGTAATTCGACAAAAAAAAAACCACAATACCATTTGAAATCTTTCCACGAAGACATATACTTTGGCCAGTCTACCATCAAAAGGTAAATGCCTGTTCTTTCAATAGTATGCCGTCTGCCGACCCGACAGTGACTGCTTCATGAAGATTTCAGGCCCTATAATTAGGTTCTTCCAGGTTGTTCTATCTTTTGCTCGCTGCCCCCAGGTACCTTTCAG